GCTGGCCTGGAACTCAATATGTAGACCAGGCTGGCCTTGATCTCTCAAAGATCACCTACCTGCTTCCCACTGGGATTACAGGAATGTGCCACCACACCCGGTATGATTGTTTATTTCCTAATCTCTATTCCCGTGGCACATGTCACAGACTTAATAAAGGGACTTAATAAAAGATGAGGATGCAACAGACTGACTTTGTCCCCTGAAAATTCACACACTGAAACTTCAACCTCTAAGTACCATAGAATGTGGCTGTATTTGGACACAGGACCTCTGAAGAGACAATTAGAAGAGGTTACCAGGGACTGCTTATACACATAGAAGACCACATGAGGTCATGAGAAAAGGCAGCCGTCTGCAAGCCCAGGAGAAGAGGTCTTTGGCCTTGGGCTTGATCATGGACTTCTTGCCTTCAAAAGCATGAGAAAGTACATCTCTGTTGTTTTAATGACTCAGCAAATTGTGTTTTGTTTTGGAAGCTCCAGCAGATCAATGCCAAGGGGAAGCACAGGACCAAGCATTTTTCGCACATTGCTTATACATAGGTCATAAGAAGCCACCTGCTGTTCTGTGCATCCTAGGAAGGAAAGTTCTTTGGAATACTCTTGTTGCTCTAGAATTGGAGGCTGCTGGCCTTCAAATAACTATATGTATAGGTGGTTTCAATTATGATAGACAGTTTTTATGGCACTAGATAGGGAAAAGATCTACTGAAAACTTTTAGTTATCATCTAATTTCAACCAGAAAAAAGGGATACCAAAGATTTTCAAACAACAAGAGGGCATGAAAGTTGCTCAATTCTCACATGACCATCTTCTCCTTCCTTTAGGTTAGTACACCTACTGCTACAATCTCTTATTTCCAGGGAATGGAAAAACAGAATGGGGAGCAAAGAAGCAGACCAGAAATAGATCTTTCTTTCATTTTTCTTTCTTTCTTCTCTTTCTCTCTGTTCTTCCAGAATAAATCCCTTACCTATAAAGGGTTTAAAGACTCTTGACAATTCTCCATTTGGGGGATTTAAAGGGAAATAATAACTAACGTATGTTCTTAAACACATGATAGTATATCATCTTACAGCTCTCAAGACAGTCTTAACAGGCTCTGTTTGTATCACATTTCTGTAGATGAGGAAATTAAGACACAAAGAGATCAAGTAATCTTCTCAGGGTCACACCACCAATGGTAATGGTGAGATGGGAGCCCAAGCAGGAAGACTGTGGAGCCCACAAAGACTGAATGCTGCCTTGGACCAGTGAAGTAGTCTCCCCAAGCTTCCTGCCACACAGAAGGCTAAGAAACCAAGACTTGGAGGGACACAGCCCAGGACTTGGGAGGATCTAGCGTTAGTATCAATCAATGTTTAAACAACAGTTACCTTCACCCCAAATTGCCTCACTGTCTGACTGTGAGACTGAATCAAGTTATGGAGAATGCTGTTCTTTGGTTTAGTATGAAGTTTAAAAATCATTTTGTCATTAACATGTTAATGTTAAAATCATTAACATCGAGAAAAACAGAGTCAGCATTTGGAGTACAGAAAAGAGCTTCATTGCATTTCCACACATCAATCCTAGTAAAACCCGGAGATTTAAGAATTCTAAGAGGTTTTCACAAAAGGTGGTTTCTGTACAAGAAAGAATCAAACATCCCTGAAGAGATGCCTCTGTTCCCTTGGGGAGCACTAGCTGCTCACTTCTTTGGGAGGCTTATTCAACAGAAAAAACGTGGGCCCTGGGTTCGGGTTTTTTTGTTTTGTTTTTGTTTTTTTTTTAAGTTTAGAGGTTAAAAAATAACCCTTTTTCCATCCAGTCTTAGAATTACACTTTTCCAGCGAAGTCTGGTTCCCTTTCCCGGTAGATATAATCCTAATTAAAAATAAATTACATGCTATACAGAACTTGAAATGGGAAAGATAATCCTATTACTTATGAGAATATATCCTGATTTTCTTTCCCGCTAAACTGTGGAAGATACCAGATCAGGCTGAGCCCCCCATTGTCCCTGCTTTGAAAACTTTCCTTGAGCCCTAATCCGTCACGTGATGCCAGTGTCAATCCAGAGGTCTGCACGCGAGCTTCACAATGCCTGCTTTAGGCGCGGTAACAGAAACCCAGCTTCCCTTAGCCGGCCACATTTGCATTCCGAGAAAACGCCGGCCATTGTGGAACCTGTTTGTTCTCAGGATTGGGAGACAGTTGCAGGCGAAGTTACTAAAAATCGGGAGAAAGAGGCGCCTTGGAGCCTCCCCAGACCTTTTGGTATGATAACAAGGCGATCTGAGCAGCTTGTGTGGGTGGATCTGAGCTCGCATCCCTCTCCCTTTCTCCCGGACTTTCCCCCAGCCGGACCTTTCTCCTCCGCGGGGAGTTGCTGTGGTCGCAGATGCGCTATTTTAAATCGCATTTCCATTAGCTGGTGAGTGTGGGCGACCAGCCCGGAGCTCACTCTGCCCGTGTGCCTTCGCACCTGGACCTCCTGCTCCGCCAGGCTGGGCGTTTGGCGCCGCGCTCGCCGCGGTCCCCCAGGAGCCATGCGCCCCGGTTCCCGGCTCCCAACTCCCCGGCGCCACCGCTGTCCTTGCTGCTTCCGATCGGACAAGGCTCAGGCAGTGGATAATAGGCTTTGAGCCTACTGTTAACCCTACACTGTTCCTGCCGCCGCAGCTTGGCCTCTTGCTTCCCCACTCTTTCCTTTTGCGCCTGCCAAGCTCTCCATCTCAGCCTTTAGAAAGAGAAGGGTCACGGATGCGCGCAGGGTGGGGGAGAGACTTAAGCAGCACCCAGTTTAGCTTCAGGTTGGAACTCAACTCCCAGCCACTCGCGGGGTTCTGAGTGTCTCATCTCAGAATGTGGGCTGATCTCCACTGCCTGCTCCAGGCCCAGGCCTCTGACTTCTCCACTCGGTAACAACTGCGTCTGAGATGCCTGGGTCCCTAGAGCTGGGAAAGACCAGGGGCCGCTGTCTGAATCTGATCCAGTCCCTCCCTGGAGGCGTCTGATGAAAGAGGCAATGAATATGGAAGCACCAAAGGTCAAGCACAGGCCCCAGGACCAGATCAGGATGGATGTTCAGCGATTATGCTAGATATATTCCCACCCAAGGATTGTGCCTTGGACAAGATCAGGGCGAGAGCCCTGAACCAAAATGGCACCTGGTTGAAGAGAAAGCTATAAACCCTCTTGCAAGGGATGCTGCCCTTCTCACAGCCCTGTGAGCCAGCACTGCCTTTAGGTTCCAGGACTGGAAGGATGCCCCAAACAACCCTCATTTCCTGTGCCAGCTCCATAAAGGCTTCCGTTAACTGATGGCTAAGGCTGCATTTCCTGCTCTCATACAATTCCAAACACAACCCCTGTCTGTCTGCTGTCTCCACCCCACTGTCCACCCAGCTCCCAGGTAGTCTCCCTACTCTGAGAACTCCTGCTCCTCTTCTGAAAAGACTCCAAAACCTATTCACTAGAATTAGAAGGGAAGGAAAACACGGAGAGTACCCCGACAGAGGAACCAGAGTCAGAATTCAGAAAAAAAAAAAAAAAAACATTGATTTAATGCCATCTGTTTATCAAACTCTCAGCCTCCTTTATTTCTTCAAGTGCATGACTTTTATTTGTAACTCTTCCTCCTTCCTGAGTTATTTACACTGCCTGCTCAATAGAGCCCTTCAGTAAGAATCAATAAGAATCAGTCTTGCTCCAGGTTGGCACATCTCTGTCTCTCATCTACAGGACTGGGGCTACCTGTGAGGCCTTTGGAGGCCTGGCCAGTACGAGGACCCACCCAGCTAGGAGTTGGCAGTGCAGAAGTTCCACAGTCTCGTAGGCAGATGGTTAAGTTACCCCAGGTTCATGCCAGGTTTCAACGTCAAGCTGTGATTTTGTTCTTCAGGAACAGGACGAGTGTTGCTTCCCAGAGTGGCCCTATTAGAACAGAAAGAAAATCCTCTAAATAGGCGGAACAAGATGTCAGGAGAAAAAGTTCCCTAAATGCACTTTAATACAACCCGGTATTGTGTGGAATTCAGCGCCCATCACCGCCCATCGCCGTTTAGCCTGAGAGTTACCGCAGTGATCAGGGATGAATAGAGGGTCATAATGGATACATGTGGCGTTTGCTCATTATATTCAAGTTAGCCCAACGCCGCTGTGGAAACTGTTCAACTTTCTCTCCCCTTAGCTTGTCACAGTGAAATAATACAGACATTGGGGCCTCCAGTGGGATCGCCTGCCTGGTCATTCCATTTCCACTACTAACGAGGGCTTCATAAGCCTTTGATACAGTCTGATCTTTGAAACCTTTCCAAATCTCCTCAAGCTTATGCTAAATCCTATTTGGAACTTTTTTTTTTCCTTGCCTGCTAGCACCCAGGGCTTAAGAAAGCCATTTGAACAGTGACATGCATACTAACGGATTGTAGGGCTCTTTTCTGAAAGGGAAGTGGCAGCTCTGATCATCGGAGCTCAGAGGAGCAAAACACAATTTGTATACAAATTTGAATAAAATCAATTTTGCTTTATCCTTCAGGCTTCCTCATCGACAGACTATTCCTGGTGCCATGGAAAGCTGGGAGAGAAAGCGAACAGAGCTTCACTCTGCAAAGCAAGTTGGGAAGCTTTCAAGATGCAAAATAAAGGGGAGGTGGGGGTGAGACGAAGAGAAGCCCCAGCTTGTTGGTGCGTAGTACCAGCTGTGGCGGGCAGAGGAGTAAGGGGTGCGAGGCGCACAATTAACAAAACCATCCGCGGCTTTTACTCCCAGAGCCCGGTGCCCACTCGTCTCCAAGCAAGGTGCTAACAGAAAAATGGGAGCAGGAGTTTTTAAAACAAAGGAAAGATTCCCTCATTTTCCTTTCTTGTTTTCTCCTCTCAGCCTTTCCACATTAAAGGGATTGTCAGCGGTTGGCTGAGGAGCGGCGCTAGGGCTGGGTGGCCATTGGCTGCCCGGAGCCGGTGATTTGCATATCGGCCGCTATAAAGGCGGAGGCGGCGCGCAGAGGAGCAGCTCCAGCCGAGAGAAAGGAGGCGGAGGCGCGGAGTGAGGGCGGGTCCGCGCGTCCTCGGAGCCCGCGGGAGCCGGAGCCGCTGCTCCTAGACTTCTCCCGCGCAGGGCTTTCAAAGAACGAGCTCCTGGGAGCCTGAGACACTCTCCAACCTGCAAACGCGAGAAGACTCTCTTGCCTAGCCTTTAGGAACAGCCTTGGGGCTGGCGGCATGAGTCCGATGAAGCGCTGGGGCAGCCCTCGCCTTTTCCCCTTGCAGCTCTTTAGCCTCTGCTGGGTGCTCTCAGTAGCCCAGAGCAAGACAGTCCGATATAGCACCTTCGAAGAGGATGCCCCTGGCACAGTCATCGGTACCCTCGCAGAGGACCTGCACATGAAAGTGTCCGGAGACACAAGCTTTCGCCTAATGAAGCAATTCAACAGCTCTCTGCTCCGGGTGCGTGAGGGCGACGGGCAGCTGACCGTCGGGGAAGCGGGCCTGGACCGTGAGCGTCTGTGCGGCCAGGCCCCGCAGTGCGTGCTGGCCTTTGATGTGGTCAGCTTCTCGCAGGAGCAGTTCCGACTGGTGCACGTGGAGGTGGAGGTGAGGGATGTAAACGACCACGCGCCCCGATTTCCCCGGGCCCAGATCCCGGTGGAGGTCTCAGAGAACGCTCCTGTAGGTACCCGCATCCCCCTGGAGGTCCCGGTGGATGAGGACGTGGGTGCTAACGGGCTGCAAAGCGTGCGCCTGACTGAGCCTCACAGTCCGTTCCGCGTGGAGCTGCAGACGCGCGCGGACGGCGCCCAATGTGCCGACCTGGTGCTGCTACAGGAGCTGGACCGTGAGAGCCAGGCCGCCTACAGCCTAGAGCTCGTGGCCCAGGACGGCGGTCGTCCGCCGCGTTCTGCCACGGCAGCCCTCAGCGTGCGAGTGCTGGATGCCAATGACCACAGCCCGGCCTTCCCGCAGGGTGCCGTGGCTGAAGTGGAATTGGCCGAGGACGCACCGGTGGGATCGCTGCTGCTGGACCTGGACGCTACCGACCCAGACGAGGGTCCCAACGGCGAGGTGGTGTTCACCTTCGGCGCCCGCACCCCGCCAGAAGCCCGCCACCTCTTTCGACTCGACCCCCGCTCTGGCCGCCTCACCTTGGCTGGCCCAGTGGACTACGAGCACCAGGACACCTACGAGCTGGACGTGCGGGCTCAAGATCGCGGCCCGGGGCCCCGGACTGCCACCTGCAAGGTCATCGTGCGCATCCGAGACGTCAACGACAACGCTCCAGATATTTCTATCACCCCCCTGGCCGCCCCTGGGGCTCCAGGCGCCTCGCCCTTCGCCGCTGCAGCCGCGGCCGCTGCACTCGGAGGAGCGGACGCGACCTCCTCGTCGGCGGGGTCGGGGATGCAGGAAGCGGGTGCCACCTCCCTGGTGCCGGAGGGGGCTGCGCGCGAGAGTCTGGTGGCGCTGGTCAGCACCTCGGACAGGGACTCGGGAGCCAATGGGCAGGTGCGCTGCGCCCTCTATGGGCACGAGCACTTCCGGCTACAGCCGGCCTACGCGGGCAGCTATCTGGTAGTGACCGCGGCGTCTCTAGACCGGGAGCGCATCGCCGAGTACAACCTGACACTGGTGGCCGAGGACCGTGGCGCGCCCCCGCTGCGCACCGTGCGGCCCTACACTGTGCGCGTGGGCGACGAAAACGACAACGCGCCGCTCTTCACCAAGCCAGTCTATGAAGTGTCGGTACGTGAAAACAACCCGCCAGGCGCCTACCTGGCCACAGTGGCCGCCCGCGACCCAGACCTGGGCCGCAATGGCCAGGTCACCTACCGGTTGGTCGAGGCCGAAGTGGGCCGCTCGGGAGAAGCGGTGTCCACCTACGTCTCAGTAGACCCGGCTACCGGGGCCATCTACGCGCTGCGTAGCTTTGACTATGAGACGCTGCGCCAACTCGACGTGCGCATCCAGGCCAGCGACGGCGGCTCCCCGCAGCTTTCTAGCAGCGCTCTGGTGCAAGTGCGAGTGCTGGACCAGAATGATCATGCGCCGGTCCTGGTGCACCCGGCACCAGCCAATGGCTCTCTCGAAGTAGCCGTCCCTGGACGCACCGCAAAGGACACTGCTGTGGCGCGCATACAGGCCCGGGATGTGGATGAAGGCGCCAACGGGGAGCTGGCCTTTGATCTGCTGCAGCAGGAGCCAGGCGAAGCTTTCTCCGTCGGCCGCCGCACTGGAGAGATCGTGCTCACAGGAGACCTCTCACAGGAGCCTCCTGGCAGTGTGTTCAAGGCTCTGCTGGTCATATCCGACGGCGGCCGTCCACCTCTCACCACCACCGCCACTGTGAGCTTCGTGGTAACATCAGGCGGCGGGTCAGCTGCACCTGCCAGCGCCGGGAGCCCGGAGCACTCCCGCCCGCCGGGCTCTCGCCTAGCGGCGTCGGGGCCGTCGCTGCAATGGGACACGCCGCTGATCGTCATCATCGTGTTGGCCGGGAGCTGCACGCTGCTGCTGGCCGCCATCATCGCCATCGCCACCACCTGCAACCGCCGCAAGAAGGAGGTGCGCAAAGGGGGGGCCCTCCGGGAAGAGCGGCCCGGGGCGGCGGGCGGCGGAGCCTCGGCCCCCGGCTCCCCCGAGGAGGCCGCCCGGGGAGCTGGGCCCAGGCCCAACATGTTCGACGTGCTCACCTTCCCTGGCAGCGGCAAAGCGCCCTTTGGCAGCCCCGCGGCCGACGCGCCCCCGCCCGCGGTCGCCGCGGCCGAAGTGCCGGGCTCGGAGGGCGGCAGCGCCACTGGGGAAAGCGCCTGTCACTTGGAGGGGCAGCAGCGGCTCCGAGGCGCGCACGCCGAGGTGAGGCCTTCCTTCGGCTGGGCGCCCCCCTCCGTGCTCTGCGGACAGGCTGGGAGAAGGGAGACCGGAGGGGTAGGGGTGGGCTCTCGCAGGGAGATGCTTAACCTGTAGCACATGCTTTTTTGTGCCCTGTCCAACCCTCACACCTTCTTCCCCCCATTCCCTGCTACAGCCCTACGGTGCCTCTCCAGGCTTTGGAAAGGAGCCCGCGCCCCCTGTGGCGGTCTGGAAGGGACACTCTTTCAACACCATCTCTGGCCGAGAAGCTGAGAAGTTCAGCGGCAAAGACAGTGGCAAAGGAGACAGTGATTTCAACGACAGTGATTCTGACATCAGCGGGGATGCCCTGAAAAAGGATCTCATCAACCACATGCAGAGCGGTGAGCACCCTGTGATTTTGCCCAATCCAGCAGCCCTCCTACCCACCCAACTGCCAGCCCTGCTCCTTCATCCCACTCACTCCCCAAGTCGGGCCTGCTCCTTTCCATTAGGCATGATGCTGTCATGGAAGGAGGCAATTCAGCTCATTCTTGGTTGGTTGGTTGGTTGGTTGGTTGGTTGGTTGGTTGGTTGGTTGGTTTTCTTCCAGCAAAAGAACTAAACTTTGCATTATAGAAAGATATCTTTATGGAAAGCAATGTACCTTTCAGTTCTTGAGTTACCATTTATCTTTAACATACCTTCCCTTCCAGCTACCCTGGCCATGTCTGACATTCCGTAGATGGAGGCCTAGGTGTATATAATCTCAAGATTCTATTTCTCTTTTATGCTAGGACTGTGGGCCTGCACTGCTGAGTGTAAGATCCTGGGCCATTCTGACCGCTGCTGGAGCCCGTCCTGTGGGGGTCCCAATGCACACCCCTCTCCTCACCCACCAGCCCAGATGTCAACCTTCTGTAAGAGCACATCCCTGCCTCGGGATCCACTACGCAGGGACAATTACTACCAGGCCCAGCTACCAAAAACAGTGGGGCTGCAGAGCGTCTATGAGAAAGTGCTGCATAGAGACTATGACAGGACGGTCACTTTGCTCTCCCCTCCTCGTCCAGGGAGGCTCCCAGACCTGCAGGAGATTGGAGTACCACTCTACCAGTCCCCCCCTGGTGGCAGATATGTGTCCCCAAAGAAGGGAGCCAATGAAAATGTGTAATCCTGTGCTGCATGTCTTCACACACATATACAGGTCACTCTGAGAAGTCTCTAAGTTATTGACCAGTTTCAGTGTTGTATATATAAATATGCAAGATGTGCCTTAAAATGAAGTTGTTGGAAGCTATTTCCAATCACATTGGTACTGTTTGGTATTTGCAAACAAAAATGTAGTAAATGTAATTTTTATGAAATGTGTGCAGTATTTAATTTTTCTTATGCTATTGACTTTAATTTCACTTGTGGCTTGCCATTTTCTTAGTGTTTTTAACCTGTACATTGTGTAATGTAATGTTTGTATATACTGAAATTTTGTTATATTTTTATATAATAAAAGATAAGTGGACGTTATTGCCAAAGGAATTGTCTGTAAGACAAAAAACAAAACATGTTGGAATTACTAATGGGATTTTATCTTTCACCAGAAACAACGTAGTATTTGAGAAGTTTTGCCTTGCCAAGTAGAACTTGTATATCTTGAGTCTGTGGTAGATTCCAAGTTAATGTTATTTAATTACATTTGGTTTTCTGTAAGCCTTGTCACTTATAAGCACAGTAATAAAGGATTTGTCATGTGTTTGAAGAATCTGCTAATTGCTTTTCATGAAGTTGCCTAAAGTCAGACATTCACAAATAATTTCAGTTCCAGAATTAAATCTTCTTTCAAAAGCTAATTATTTGGGCATTATTAATGCTCCTGGCAATGCTAAGCCTGTAGGATTTTGAGTATTGCAAAATCTTGCACAATTAAAAATATTTGTTGACTTTGTAAAAATATGTACAATTCATCTGCTGCTCTACAAAATTCCTGGCCTCGTTTATTCCTTCAACAAATATCTATTCTGCATCTATGAAAAAAAAAAAAAAACTAGAGGATAGCTAAATTTGAGTTGTTCATCCATTAATTAGGCAAGCATTTGCAGAGATTTTACCAGAGACCAGTAACTCCTTTATGAGCTGGGGTTTGAGGTGAAGACTATTCAAAACTGCTTATTAAAATGGCAGACTCAAAAGACACACAATGGGATGGAGGCATAGGAGCATGCTGGAGTCTGTCCTGGGTTTGAGTGATCTGCACTGCAGGACAAAGTGGGGAGGGGGACACAGTTGGTGGGACAACATGATGCCTGGGATTTGCTTTAAAGAATTCTGCAAAAAAAGATGGAACTGTGTGAAAGAAGACTGAAAAAAATAACAAAAATATCAATAATCATCAACGGTAGCATAGGGTACATCCTGGAGAGGTGGCAACTGCGTCAGTCTCTATCATCATTTTTGTGTTAGAAAATATACATCATAGAAAGTTTAAAACAGTCATTAAAGTCAGGCATGGAGGTACACACTTGTCATCCTAGCACTGAGAAGGTGGGGGCAGAAGGATCAGGAGTTCTATGCTAGCCTGGGCTCCCATAAGACCCTGTCCCAAAATGCAAAAGATCAAAAGACATTAAACCATCTATGTTTATGTCTTCTGTGTATTTCATTTAAAATTAAAATGATGGTAGTGCCGAGCACTGTTTACTGAGCAAAGCTTTTTACAGAGTGCTCTGTGTGAATTTAATTCTCCAACTACTTCCATGCCATGTTCTATGGATAACTCCATTTTGCAGGTAAGGAAACTGAGGCAAAAGGAAATTAGACAAAGCACTGTATATTGCAGAGCTAATAAGTGACCAGGATGAGATTCAGGTCTAGATTACTCAATAAAATGAAGCAATGTAGTTTTTGTTTGTTCGTTTGTTTGTTTTTTAATGTGAAAGAAACAAAGAGTTAAGTGGAAAGTCCCAGTTCCTTGCCTATACTGTCTGATTATTGTTTAGCCCTTTATATTTGTAAAGTGCCTGTGTTCCTTTATTACCAATTATAGAATGGGGCACTGGAATGAATAAGGGAGCCCTCAAAGCTGCCTGTTGAAGTCATTATTGAAACCATTGGTGGCTCCAAGCTGAACAGCAGGTCAGGCACACACAAATGCTTTACCACCTACCGGCTGTGCAAAGTTCAGCTGTTTCTGCAGCCAACGGAGCTGCACATGCGCCTGACAGGCTAGCTGCCCAGTCCTTGGGGTCTGAAAGCAAACACAGAAAGTGGGTAAGTAAGTTACCAGGCATCTCAGAGCCAGCAAAACCCAGCTCTAGGAGACAGACCCCCAGGTAGATATCTCATAATAAGAAAAGCTTTATTCTTGAGTCAGTTCCATTTGATGTGGAGCGGAAGACTCAGAAAGAATGCTGCTTTTCTGTATTTGCTGTTTTCAGCCTTCAAAATAAAATAATGAGGGTATGCTTGATGGCTCAGCAAAGAAAGGTGCTTGCCACCAATCTGACAACCTGAGTTCTAGCCTCAGGACCCATATGGTGGAAGAAGAAAACTGACCGCCACAAGTTGTCCTCTATGGTGCGCGCGCGCTGGGCACCCTGGCATGGTGTGCACGGGCACGCCTGGAGAGTCGCCGCGCGGGTCCGCGGGCTTCTCCGTGTCTCTGTGGGTCTCTGCTGCTGGAGCGTTGTCCAGCCGTGTACCGCCTTAATTTCCCCCTGGCGCTTTCCTCTTGCTGCAAGATCCACTGGCCACTGAATCATGTGGGAGAGCGCAAGGCGGCTGAAGCTGGGATCTGTGAGCCGGTGACAGAGGAATGCTGCCCCGCCCCAGAGGCTGGATCGCCAGTAAGACGTGGGACTCTGCTTAGTCCGTGTCACAGCTTTTATTAAGTGTAGCTTCAAGTGATCCAGCTCTCTATTATTGAGAGAAGACTGGGATATTTATACCATGGGGTAAAAGCTTTGGCTGATAGGTACTTTGTGAGACATTCTATTTGCATATGGAAGTGGGTTTCTGCCATGCTGCCAGACCGCTGACTACCTGAAAAATCACACAGGAAAGCATGGTATTCCTAGAGCCAGAAGCCATGTTTATGTTATGGCATTTGTGGTGGGCACTTCAAAAGGAGAGTCAGGAAAAATGCCAGGAAGGCACCCTGCTGTGAAAGGAGTCTCAGCACATAACTCCAAGCTTGTGAGCTATCCGGATATGAAGAGACTTCTACTTCACATAACAAAGGCCCCCAACAGTCCTCTGACCGCCATACACACCCTCTAGCACGTGTGCCCACGCATGCTCATCTACAGAGAATAAATCAACAAATGTAACTCTAAAATTCAAAATAATTGCTATTATTAAGAAATAGATGTCAACTAATAGATATCAACTATCTAAAAGCATGTTGCTAAGAACATATCTTATACACTGTTGATAAGAACATAAAGCTCTATTGTTTTATTGTGAAATGTGCAACCTATTTTACTACTCCAAAAATGTTACATTCTAAACCTCTATTATTTTACTATCTTTCTTTGAGAAATGACCGCTAAAAGATCTTGTTTATGCAAAAGTAAATACACAATTTACTCCTTAAATTTGTTCAAATAAAAAAAGAGGCAGGGGCCCTTATCTAAGGTCAGCGTGAGGGGTGCTTTCTGATTTTCTCTAGAAATGTCTACTCTTAAATTTTTAAGAAATATGGTGTTCTATTAAATTAAATGAGTAGCATATGTGCAGAACACTAAGAACAATGCCTAGTTACAGTGAGTCCCCACTACATCCTGTACCACATCCTCTTCTTTCAGCTTCCTGTCTGCACTGTTGCTGCTCTACCCACAAAGGAAGATGCAGACCAGGACACCAGGACTTGTTTTGACCCTGCTTTGCTCTCTACTTCACTTTCATCAAGTAGATGGACACTGCCTGTGTAGTCAACCATTTACATTTACATGGCTGAAGCAGACATCACAGGCAAACACCCAAGCCTCACAGCACTGTGAGGTCAATACCTCTCTGCAGGTGGAAGCTGAAAACCCTTGGACACCTGAGCAGTGACTGGGACAGGAGCTGGCCCTCAGGGAAGAAGGAGAACACTAAAGCCAGACCACCTCTTTCACATCTTTGTCTCTGGCCCCATTGACTTGGGTGTCCCACTCTTCTTTCTATAATAAAATGTCCATCAAAGAAACCACTTCAGAAAATTAAATGCAAGTGGTTTCAACGTCCACTGAAAAACTCATTCTGAAATAGAGCAGAAGCAGGAATATATATATATATATATATATATATATATATATATATATTCCTATGGAGAGAAATATAATCCAGATAAGTTCCATGCTGTAATTAGCTAACTATCTGGCTTATTACACTTGGCAAATACAAGCTCTTATCTTCTAAAAATTCCATTTTGGAAAGCAAGCATATTCACTTTAGCACTGAATTCAGCAACAACAGTGTCATTGGAATGCTGTAAGTTTTGAAAGCAAACTGAAGCAAGGTAATACAGTACTCGACGGGCTACCAGGCTCTGCGACAACTCAGACGAGTTCTGAAAATGCTGCCTTGGTTTTCAATAGCTATGCAATAACTCAGAGTATTTATTGTTCCCCTTATTCAAAGGGAAACAAACTGCAATGGAATTCACCAACAGGATCACAATCAACTAATAAGTGAACAGCAGATAGAAAGAGACACCAAACTATTTCAATAGCTACCACTTAAACCCCCCGTATTAAATGTGCTTTCAGTAGAGAAAAAAATTCATTCATTATCAGATTTAGGACTTGCTCCACAAAACCTTAAAGAATTCAGTATGTCAGAGTGAAACCTGCATAGTTTAACATAGAAATACAAAATCCCACTTGCCAACCTAACATGACATTTAGCTGTAAAGCAGACACCCCTGTCTCAGCATGTAGGAACAAAAATCCTCACCTCTGCTCTGCCACAATTAACCCCAAAACCCTGGGATTGTTTTAAGCTCAATAAATGGGAGTGCAAACTCAAAACTATAAAACTTGTTTCAACACCCATGATTCCTTACTCCTAATATCCAGTCTTTCATCAAGAGCTATTGATTTTACCCTCTAAATATTATTTAATTGTCTCTACTCCATTGTGGTAGAAGTGATGGTCTACCCATATCCCCTCTGCTGACCTCAGAGTCTGCCTATGATACTGTGGGCACTTTCAGTTGCACTGTGACAGTGTCTATTTCAAGCACTCATCTCTGCAGCTTAAGAAATGTCTAAGGCTTCAGGCCCCACCTGAAGGTCTGTACACAGAACAGCCTGGACATACCAGGGATTTAAGGCCTGGAGGAGCAACCCTTAGTCAACGAGTTTTAGCAGATAAGTGCCCCAGCTTCCCCATCCCTTGGAGGAACCCATTTTGAGGGGGTTCTATTCTACCAGTTCACCTGAGGATCTCCAGTTATCTATCCAGTAATGTGCTCTCAAATGATTGTGTAAGGTCACCTTATTCCACTCACCTCACTCCCTCATTTATGGCTCCTACAGTCACTCCCCAAGTAGACTAACTGCTTCTACTATGAGATAGTTACTCGTCACAGTCAGCTTGACTGGATTTAGAATCACCTAGGAGATTTGTGAGGTGTACCTCTGGGTGTGTCTGTGATGGTCTAGACAGAGAGGATTAACTGACAGAGGAAGACTCATCTTGAATGTGGACAGCACCATCCCATGGGCTGGAGGCTTGGATGGAATAAGAGACAAAAAGAAAACCAGCAGAGACTCAACACTC